TTCAAAACAATTGGCCAATTCTCAAACTGCTAAAAGCATCAAAAACGAGAAGTCTGAGAAACTGTCATAACCAAGTACAACCTAAGGGACATGACAACAAAATGTAGTATGGGGTCTTGGATGGGATTCTGGAACAAAGGAAAGCTTCAAAACTAAGACAAAACTAAGAAATGTGAATTAAATGTAGACTTTAACTGTGTTGTGACATGCTGGATTTAGTCACTGTAACAAATAGACCAGGTCAATAATAGAGAAAACTGGCTTTGAGGTGCAAAATACGAGATTTCTTGGTACTATCTTTGACAGTCATCTTTAAATTCAATACTGTTCTAAAAAATATAACATGCTCATAGTATTTTTGAAAATATCAAAACTATGGAAATGATCACACTGGTGAAATCATGTTGTTATGGTTGATACATTGTATCAACTTGGGGAGTCTAGAGGTTTGGCTAAGTGACCCAGCAGGGAGCCAGGGTGTTTAGTTTGTATCCATCCTGAGCCTCTGCAAGAGGAGGGCATGGAGATTACCTGAGAACTACACATTCCTTAGGCCTGGGTAACCTGCTTACAATATAAGGGAGGGAAAGAGGCTTGCTCTTCTCTGTCACTCCTCCCTTTTGCTCCTGTTGCTTTCCTGTTTTCTGCCGCCATGAACATTTGCCCTCTACCGTGTGCTGCTCTGCCTTGGAACCAGCAGCGTATGGACTGAGACCTCCACAAACTGTAAGAGCTAAATAAACCTTTCCTTCCTTAATTTGGGGTGTTGGGTATTTTGTCTCAGTAAGGAGAGAAAAGTAACCAAAACACATGTTCATTGTTTTAAATTTCTCATTCTTCACTATTCTTCTGTCTTGTTCTGGTTTATGAGATAAAATTGGAAATACACAAATGTTGACTATCATATTATATTTATGCTATGCTTTTAAGTGTAGTCTGAAGTATATGGAGGTAAAAAAGCTCCACAAGAATTTAGTAAGAGATAAACATCTATATTGTAAAGTAATAATTGGAAGAATATGACATTTTACATTGTGTTATGATAGTTATTGTTGCCCTTAGATTAATTTTGTCTATATTAATGGACAAATTGCTATCACCAATGGTTCAGGAATCCATAATATTTCTGTTGAAATAAATGTTAATTGTACATTGTTTTGATTTTGAAAATGTTCTGCACTGTTTTGTAAAAAAAAAAAAAAAAAAAAAAAAAACTCAAATGAGAAATGAAAGATCTGGGTAATGTGGCTATTAAGGTCAATGATGACCACTTGCATAACTCCAAAGAATTTTTAAGTATGTTTAGAGTTCACTGCCTTGCCTCAAAAACAGGGCTTACCCAGGGGAAGACTTTTTCACTAAAATTTCTTCAGTACATGAGCTAAACAGTTCTACTCAGATGTCTCCCTAAAAGTGGACAGAAGACCATACCTAGTTTAGCTGAGAGAAAGTTTAAATCTTAAAAGTGCACCTGTCAATACTTAAATGACAGCTACTTTTTGAACCATCGCTGGTGCAGAAATTTGAGTAGGGAATGAAGGATAACATGGTTTCCTTTATGGGCTACTGAAGACTAATCCTTAGCTTAGAATACATTTCACCTCCCTTTCTTAGAGTCTTTCCCTTAATAGCTATTAATGTAATTATTCCAGGAGAAAAAGTTTACCAAGTCAAGTAAAAATGGTATAATATCATGAGCATGTAAAACCTGTGCATACCCAAGTAAAGTCTCGATTTTGCCTTACATCTGTGAGCTGCTGCCTAAAGTCTTTTTGGATTTTGTTTCACTGTGAGAGAAAATGTCATCTCATATCTGTTAATGAGAACAAGGAAAAGTGTCAAGGGAGGTTATAATTAGTGTAGAATTCAAATATATCCAATTACTCAACAATTAATTTATTTCATGAGTAATCATAAGGAAAACAAAATCCATATTCCCTGATAAAAGCCACATACACTAGTACAGTAATACTTCAGTCCGCGAACCTTTCTGCTCACAAGCAAGTGTTGGCAATAGAAATGTTTTGCACAGTTTTCCTTCCATTTGTAAACTTGCATTGGTTGATGAACCCTCTTCCCCAGAATCATGGCACAAATTAAGTTCGTGAAACCAGGTACCACAATAACTGAGGCCAAACAAACATCACCACTCAAAAACTTAAGGAAATACTTGCATTTTTACACCTGGTAATCTGAACTTCATTGAAGATTTTAATTCCTATCATTTTGTTTTGAAACCCTATATCATCTTTATTGTTTTTGCTTTGTTTTGTTTTTGCCTATGTTGTTGCTATTTTGTTATTTTTTAATTCTCTTTAAAATAAAAATTTAAAAATTAAGGAAATATATATATTAGAATGATTCATTAAACAGCTTCCCAGGAAATGTAAGTAACATGAAACTTCAATATTAAATCTAGTCCTTTTTATGTGAGCAATGATCAACTCTTTTCCAAAATTACATACTATTCTTTACCTTAGTTGTACTTTAAAATAAAATTTTAAAATGTTCAGCTTTGTGATGAAAACTGAAAGTTTAAAATTTTTAAAACTCAGTTTTATCGTGTTTAATTTTGTCATGAGCACCTGTTTGCAGTACATAACTCTTCCATTGGTCATAGGGAGTTAGTACAGGGACAGAACACATGTTAAATCTTTTCTCTTTTTTTTTTTTTTTTTTTTTTTTTTTTCTGGTACCAGAAATCCAATTCACGACCTTGCACTTGCCAGGTAGGCGCTGTGCCACTGAGCTAAATCCCCAGCCCCTGTTAAATCTTTTCTTAACCCCCCCCACCTCTTCCTTCCATCTCTTGATTTTATCTTAGAACTGAGATCATATTAGGATTTGAAATTATAGGACCAAGAATGAAACTTATCTCAGGAAAGTGAGAACTAATTTGAGAAAAGCATGACATGGTGTTTTTAAAGTTTTGACCTGCAATCAGAATACTTAAATGGTTAGGTGCTTTCAACAGAGTTTTATGGCCTTGAATTTATAACTTTCCTTCTTTTGTCCTTAGTTGTCCTATGGCAAAAGCAAGAAGATATTAACTGTTACAAAAATTTATTGCCAATATTATATAAAATATTTTCTCTTTGAAAATTCCTGAGTAGACAGTATATCTCAGAAGAGAGGGCTGGGGATTTACCTCAGCAGCAAAGCGCCTGCCTGGCAAGTGCAAGGTCATGAGTTCGGTTCCCGGTACCAGAGAAAAACCAAAAAAAAAAAAAGAAGAGAAACTCACTGTATTGAGGGAGAAAAACGTATCATGTTCAGTTCATGGAGTTCGATTCTTAGGGATGGATGTGGTGGACAAAGGAGAAAACCTCAGCCTATGGTATGGTTAGAACTAAAATACTTGTTTCCCACAATTCTCATGTGTGTGGAAGGTGATTCAATCAGGGGGCCTCTATACTCATCAGTGCCTTCATATGTTGATCGGTTTGTAGCTGAATGTATTGATAAAAGGTGGAGCTTGGGGAGCTGGGGATGTAGCTCAGAGGCACAGTGTCTGCCTGGCAAGCACAAGGCTCTGGGTTCGATTCCTGGTACTTAGAAAAAACAAAAGATAGGGCCTGGTGCGGATGTGTCACTGTAATGTGAGCAAGAAAGGGCATCTTCTTCTGCCCATCTCCTCCCTTCACTTCTTCTTGGTTGCCATGGGTCGGTTGAGCACCTTTTCTTCCACCAGGCTCCCCTGCCATCCTATTTCTGTCTTGGAACCAGCTGACCGTGGACTGAAACCATCCATGTGGGTGTCAGGTACCATGTCCAGTGACAGTAAAGTGGCTAAGACAGAACGATGACTTTCTTGACAACTTAGTAAGAGGGGAAAGAACACAGCGGGAGTTTTGCAAAATGAAGTGAAAATCTACTGACACTGAACTGTGCATATGCCATGGCCACTTTGTCAATAAACTTCCCTAACATGGAAATATTATTTTTAAGCAATCAACGCGTTAAGAATGGACCAGTGAGTGGTCTAGTAGCTTTGCCTTGAGCAAAGAAAATAGGGAGGGTTTTTCGCAATAAAGGAGGAGATCACGATGGAAAGAATTTTTACTATGTATTATGCATAAATAGTAAAGCTGTTTATACATAGTAAAACCTGCTCAAGGCAAAGCTGACCTATCATAGCTCCTGCTCAAGGCAAAGCTCACCTATCATAGCTCCTGCTGACTGTTCGCAGAATAAATGATAAGCTAGTTGTGTATCTACGTTGTCTGCTCTTCCTGTCTGATGGCATTGCCACATGAAAGGAAACACTTGAAAGATCTGAGACTATAATGCTACAAAAGTACATCTTACTATTTCATTGTTCATTACTACTACTTATATTAATAATACTGAATAACCATCATTAGCAATATTATGACACCTCATCTTTCTGTTTTGGACAAGAGTTCTGTAGGCTATAGACAATGGCAGTAAAAAGCATTTGCCATTTCTAGTTTCAGGCCTGTTGGGGTTTTCTGTAACACCCGGGACCACTACCAGCAATGCCTCTTCTGCACGGCGAGTGTGTCTTTATCTAAATATTGCCACCCGCTTTTGCTATTGGAGGACATTAATTCTGTTCCTGTCATGCACAGCCCCTAAAAGTGAAATAACTAATCTTGCAAACCAGTAAACCAGCACAATCACACAGAAGGGCTTTTCTCCAGCATATTGTGTGTCTGGTGGGAGGGGATGCTTGGGGATTGAACCCAGAGCTACATCCTCAGCCCTTTTGTTATTCTTTGTTATGCGATAGGGTCTCATTTGGAAAAGTTCTCTTTCCATTTTTTATCAATTCTTTTTTTCATCATCTTTACCCCCATCCCTCTCTCTCCCTCCTTCTATCTCTTGTTCTCCTACTATTTGAAAAATTTCTCTGTACTTCCTATTATTTATCTTTTATTTTGCTCTTTACTTAGTGTGATGGTTGAGTGATTGTGTCAACTTGAGAAATTTAGTTAAAAGAAGCTGAACTGAATTGGTTCAGTTATTCCTCATTCTAGGGCAGCTTGTCAGCCCAGTGGTACAAAGGGAAAATGAGGAAGGACGATCTTCTGTTTTTTCGGAAGAGCTCCAGTCTTTGCCTTCTCGTTGGTTGTCATCTCCTGGCTTCCAGTGCGGACTCTTCAGCTTCCGGTGCAGAACCTTAAGCCTTCCGGTGTAGACTCAGATCCTTTCCACTGCAGATGCATCAGCCTCCACGTACGGACTTGCAAAGACACTGCAGTGAGCTCCAGAACTCGGACTGAGTCCTTCGGTCTCTTGTGCGCAGACGCCCTCTGCACGCTTCCCCATCCAACTCTGCAGATGTAAATGATCTTGTAAGTTCTTCTATATCGTATGTTATATCTGTCTTTCTAGTAAATGCTAAGATGCTTATATTTTGGGTTTCTCATATAAGAGGATACTGAGGCACATTTTTAAGATAATTCATGAATCACCATGGAGCACAATCCAGATGGGTGAATCTAACCCATGTTAAAAACAGGCAACAAAGTTTGCTTCCACATGATGTTTTCTTCAGGAGGACGTCCATGAAGATGTATTATGTCCACTTTTGTTGACAGCCAACAACAAAATAGACAAAACTCCAGAGCTATTTAAGTTTCTGAATAATTAACCATCAGTAAAACTAGATTCATCTTTTTGTCAGTGTGGGCACAGATTGGCCACCATATTTAAGAGGCTTTCTGGTTTCACCACTAGGGTTTCTGGATGTGAAACTACACACTGTGTCATCCAAAGAGACGTGCTGGCTAGCCAAACTATGTCACTGAACTTAACAGCATTTTTTAGGATGTGAATAAAGTTATGAACCACATTAAAGTACATGCCTTTAAGTTAACACTGCTCATGCAGGTCTGTGAGGAGATGCACACAGAGCACACGTCTTCTCCCATTTACTGAAGTGAGATGGATTTCTACAGGTAGACTACTGGCCAGAGATTTTAGTTACAAGAGCTGCTCCAGGGATTTCTTTGAGAAATACAGTCACCAATGGCAGCACATTTCAGTGACACAGAACAGAGCACAAAACATGCACACTCCTGTGATGTGTTCAACCAGCTCAGTGAACTCAAGCTGTCACTTCAGGGGAGCACAACAACTCCACTGAAATCAGCAGAAAAAGTGGCCGCTGTCAAGGGCAAACTAGAATTACAGAGGTGATGAGTGAATGCTGGGTTTTTCAACATGTTTCAAACACTGGCAGAGATTTTGGAAGAGACCGAGTCAGGACCTTCACCTGATACTTGATCACCTGTCTCAGCTTTCAAAAGAGTTTGCATATTACTTCCCCATGACAGAAGACCTCCAACTTGGGGAGAAATGGATGTATGGCCCACTGGAGAATAAGCAGGTGAACTGGTTTTGTCCATGTTTGAGGAGAACCATCTGCTTGAGATCACAAGTAATAGTGGCTTTAAAGGAGTGTTTGAGACAACTTCAAATCCCCGGATGTTCTGGGTTGAAGTCAAGACAAAATACCCTGAAATCACCTCAAAAGTGCTGAAAGCCTGCTTCAATTTGCAATATCTTATCTTTGTGAAGCATGGTTTTCTGCAGTGATATCAAGAAAAATGAGATTACAGAGTGAACTGGACATAATCAACACACTTTGGGTGTCTCTGTCTCCCATCCTTCCCAGAAGGGACTATCTAGCTGCAGAAAAAAATTTTAAAAAGCTTAGACTCTCACTGATTCTGCAGTGGAGCAGTTTTCATTATTCCATTATACATTACAATTCAATAATAATAAAAATCATGTGCACAGTAAGTCATCACCAAACCATTCAACCTACCCCCCATCTCCACCATCTGTGGAAAAATTATCGAGGAAAACAAAACTTTGGGGGATGCCTGCATTATAGGACCATGTAAATCTACACAAGGATAGTGACAGCAAGGAAAGATAAGCCTGTCATTTTGTGTCAGATCCACAGAGTTCTCCTCACTCTTCTCCATACTTACTGAAGTGCCAGGCCTGCACCATAGAACAAATTCCTTCTTGGGTGTTGGAAATCCAGTGTTTAAACTTTGCTTTCTCTTCTCAGAGATAGGTGCAGAACAGCCATGAAAACACATCTGTTTCCATAGGCCAGGCATTTGGGGGCACACCAACCTTAATCCTAGCTGCTGATTGGAGCAGCCCCTTACAATGTCTTCCCTGCATGATTTTCATGTAGCCTTTGCACACGTTTGTGGCACCTTACACGTCAATTTTACCTATCTCATACTACAGCAGAAAGGTTATATTATTTCTTCACCAAAGATCAATGAGATTTGCTGTTCATAATGAGGCTAATTATATTCAAAGACTGTCAATACAGTAAAGTAATGGATCAGCTGTACTTATTTTTTTCCTCTCTTTCTTTCTTTCTTTCTTTCTTTCTTTCTTTCTTTCTCTTTCTTTCTTTCTTTCTTTCTTTGACAGTTCTCTCTAATCCTAGCATTTGTGATGTGTGTATGAAAAAATTGGGAGTAACAGAAAAAGGGAGAAAAAAAAGGGAGAGAGGTAGTCACTAGGAGGGAGATGGAGGGGAAAGATAGTGTTCTTGGGTTCTTAGCTTACTTTTGGCTGTTAAATTAAAATGAATTAGAAAAAAGAACCTAACTGCTTCAACTTGAAATTTTCAGTAACTTAACAGAATAAAATATTGTTTCTTGTTCATCTCCCAGGCCAAGTGAAATAGCAGTTTGGGGAACTGTGGAATGAGTGGGGGAAGCTGTGTAGAATTCTGCAACATGAGCCATTCAAGGACTCCGGAGAGGAGGAAAGGGTCAGCTGAGGTAGGTGCTTATGCCTCTGGGCTCGCAGCGAACACATCACCCGTACTCACGTGCTATTGGCCAGGACTCACGGCCAAAACTAATTCCAACAGAGCCTGGAAATGTACTTTCATGTGTGCCCAAGAGCAAGAAGAGAACATGGATATTTATGAGCAGCAGCATCTGTGCCAGAGCGCACTCCAAACATCACATTTCTGCAGACAGCATAGGTCTCCAGCGAGCTCTGCATAGGGCTCAAATTCAGTATCTCAGGGTCATGTACATTCTTTCTTTCAGGTGCTGGTTTGCTTCCTCATTGCCTAGGGACTGATGACCCGGGAAAATGAAGTTATTGGTCTTCTATACCCGGTATATAATGGTGACCCTTCACAGGAATAAGCACACACAAACTTCTGCTTAGATAAATGAAAAACATGAAACTCGGCCATCACTATTCCATCCACTGTGCAAGACTCACCCTAAGGATGGGACAATTTCTTGGTCAGGGTCTAATTATCTTCTCTCAGAGGAGCACCCTTGTCCACTTCTCTCTGCCGGTTCCAGTTCTGTCTCTCCCTGTCCATCGTCCAACACAGCCAACATCAGTTTTGGAAACATGCCCTTTTGGGGTCAGTATGGGATTCTCAGCCTTTCTCATAAATATAGGTCAGTACTTTCTGGCTTTTTTTTTTTTTTTGGTACAGGGAATTGAACTCAGGACCTTGCATTTGCCAGGTACACACTTATGCCCCTGAGCTATATCCCCAGCCCAAGTACCTTCTGCTGTAACACATATTTAGACCACTAACTGCGCCCAAAATTCTTTCTTACTTGTAATCCTTATTTCTTTCCTTTATCAAGCCTGCCTCCTCTAAATCTAAAGATGACTATGTTTATGTCATCAGATTTAGCCTGAGCCTTTCTACATGGCTGGGTCTTAAGGACTTACCACCTCTCAGCAGCATTTTCAATCATATGTTGCATTGGTTGATGTCCAGAAGCAGTGAGATTTTCTAAATATTCAAAGTCCCAACATTTGGAATTTACTTTATATCCTTTTTCATCCTTGAAGCAAGCTAGGCAATTATTATCTGAACTTATCTTTTTCATGTAACAGCGTACTAAAAGTGGTCAATGATATAAAATTCACCCTATGCCTCCGAATCTTTCCAAACATTTTTTTGGGTTACTTATTTGATGTCATACGTTCAGCCTTCCAGATGATCACAGGTAGTAGTTCTACAAATGTTTTGCCACAGAACAGGACTAGCTTACCTTGTTACCTCTTGATAAACTGCTTTCTCCCAGCTTGCTGGCTTACTGTTCAGCCCATATTATTTTAAATTCTATTTATGACAGCATGTGCATTTCTGTACTAAGATAAAAATGCTGGTTGCTGTGACAGACGTACTAGAAATCTCAGTGACTCTTGACGATGTAACCTCATGTCTCCTGCACGGCACAGATCAAGACATGGCAGTGAGATAAGAGAGAGGCAGATATCTCCAGTCATGCAGAGACCTTCACCATTTAGAGCTGGTGGCTCTGTCCTGTTTTCAAGCTGGCTGTGAACATGGGAAGAACAGAAAAAGAGAGAAGATCTAACATGGCCTGTTTCTGAGGTCCAGAGTGAAAGTGGTACACATCAACTTCACACATATTCCTAGAACTTAGTCACATGACACGCCTACCTTCAGTAGGCCTGGAAAATGGAACCCTGTCCTGCACTTCCTAGAAAGGAACATGGATACAGGTCACCACAGGCAGTCCTTGCCCCTGTCCCAGCTCACCGCTGGAAAGAATGAACTCCTTACTCCACATTCTTTTCTTTTACTTCCACATTCATTTCTGTCAACAATGGTGTGATCTACAATTATTCTCAGCACAACATGCGCAGGCCAAGCAGTTACCCTGGTGGGGGAAGGAGAAAGTGAAGGAAGTTCCTGGAAAATCAGTGAGATTATAAACTGCCAATGAAGAACCATCTGGAGGGGTACAGCATTTGTCTCTCTTTCTGGCAACTATGAGAGGCAGAATTCTACATGGCCCCTGAGCTTCTAACCTCGGTGTTATGCACTGCATAATCCTTCCCCTGGAATCTATTCATCAAATTGAATACTTACTTGGTTAGATGAAGGTGATGAAACTGTCGCCTCCATGGCCTTCTTAGGTTATGTAAGACTGTGTCTTTGATAAATGAAGAGAGAAATTCTGCCTCTGTTAAAGAAGTAGGTGACCTGATCATCGAGAAGGCCACATGCAGTCACTAGGAGGTGACATCTAAAAGCTGAGGTGACCCCTAGGTGACAGTCTGCAAGAGAGCAGAAAGCCCCATTCCACAGCCCCCAGGAACTAAACTTGCAAAAGTGAGCCAGGATGAGTTCCGTAAGTGTCAGGAGCCATCAGAGCTCTAAACCATAACTTTACTTCAGCCTGGTGCACCAGGAACCCAGCTGTCCCATGTCCAGAACTGTGAGCTAATATATTCTTGGTATCTGAGCTCTAAGTTTGAGGTAGTTTGTTTTGAGAACAACAGAAAACTAACAACAAAAAAAATTAGATCTAGAAGGTTCCCCAAACTCCCGTGTGTGTGGAAGGGGATCAGGTCATGGGGATGGTGCACTCCTCAGTGCGCTCATTCATGGATGAGTTCATAGCTCACCAGGCTGTTAAAAGGTGAGACCGTGTTGAAGATGTCTCACACAGGATGTGACCTGGGAAGATGGGCCCTTTTCCTTGCTTCCTCCCTTGCTTCTCTGCTTTCTGGCTGCCATGGCCTCTGCTAGACCCATCCGCCATGCTGTTTCTGCTTTGGATTCGGCCAACCATGGACTGAATCTTCTCCTTTAAGTTGCATGTCTCAGTGGTGGGAACGTGAGCTAGTACAGGTACTAAAGCCTATTTCACGTAGATGCACACTCAGTGCATATTTGCCCTTACTGTAAGGATTGCAGAAACAATGTACAACCATGAAAATGAAGTGTGTACTTAGAAAGACTAATCTTTTGTGCAAAAAATGATATTATTATTGTTTTCTCTTTCTTTCAATGGTACAGCCAAGTTTACAGTAGTTAATAGATTAACAGGTAAAGTTTCCAAGAAAAATAATATACCAAATGCCTATACTTACTCATTTGTAATCACTAACAGGTATATCATAACTACAGCAGGCAGTAACCTTTTTTTTTTCCTTTGGTACCAGGGATCGAACTCAAGACCTTGCACTTGGCAGGGAGGCGCTTGTGCCGCTGAGCTATATCCCCAGCCCCAGCAGGCAGTAATCTTATACATATTGTATTATTTAATCTCCGAGCTCCGCACTATGAATTTTTAAAATCCCATTTTGCTGATCAGAAAGCTGAGGTTTATGAGAGTTGGCAACTTGCTTGGAGATACACAGGTTGTTAAAATTCAAAATCATTCTGCCAGATTCCAAATCATTGATATTTCTACTGTATTATTTTTTGTTTCTATTGCCTATAATGCCTGTACTAACACCATAATATCTTTGTTTTGAGTCTATCATCAAAATAAAATAGGATACCAATGTTAATGACTACTATGATTGTATGGGATATGATTAATAGTAAATGACTATATTATTTACATTAGTGAATTTAAATCAGTTTGGGAAGCACCAAAGACCAATATGTATATAGCTCCTTCACATAAAATTTTTCATTGTTTTCTCAGGAAAACCCTGAGAGGTAATCAGGGCACATATAGCTAGTTTACCTATTTTACAAAAAACAAAAAGAACTGAAATTCAGAGCATTCCTAACTTTCCACTGTCTGTGACACTAAAGGACAGTGTGTCTTCTCTTCATATACAGAGCTTGTTTCTCTGCAGTGAGCAAGGTTAAGGGACAGGGCACACAGAAAAGAAGAGCCAGAAATGGTACTGAGAGAGACCAGAAAAATCCAGTCAACCTGCATTTTAAGTCTCAAAGAATTAGCAGGAATGATACTAGTCATCAAGACTAGCCAACTTGGCACACGCCTGTAATCCCTGCACTTGGGAGGCTGAGGCAGGAGGATCATTGTGAGTTTGAGGCCAGCCTGGGCTACAAAGTGAGCTCAAAGCCAGCCTGAACTGCATAGCAAGATCCTGTCTCAAAAAGACAAAAGAAAACAAAGAAAGACTAGCCAACTGCCAGCATTCCTGAACCTATAAATTAGAAAACCCAAGAACCTATAAATTAGAAAACCTATAAATTAGAAAACCCATACTCTACTTATGAAGAGAAAAAGCCACATGAACTAATGCCTTGGAATCAGCCATATTTGCATATAAAATAATAAGAACATTAGACCACTATTATTTATGATGATTACTCTACTTTTATTTGATAAGAATGGTATTGGGGAAAAGTTTCCAGAGCTATTCTTGGATCTAACCATTAAGTCACGGTCTTTCTTTTTAAAAACTGCACCCCATTATTCCATGTCTGTTCATCTAGCACCATTTAGGGAATACAGCGAGAGGATAATCACAACTAGCAGCAATGCAAGCTTCTCCATTGTACTGATTCACACTTACTAATGACACAAACAAGAATAGGGTACTCAATCATATATTTTGCTAGTGAGCTATGGTTAATAATGTTACAAGTTCTGTGATAATATTTTGGATGTAAATCCTATTTCTAATAAGTAGTAAAACATAGCCAAATGCACTGTCAACCGTACTGTCAATTAATTGTCAATTACCAGTGCCAAGGTAAAGGCGAGCTGTTTGTTTTCTGAGCAAACAATTCATTGAGAAGATTGTTTTAATTATAAATCTCTCACGTCCTTCCATATTAAGTGTCTTACTGGAGGTTGAATAGTCATTAATGTCTTACAAAGCTAAGCTTTTGTGCAATTGTTTAACAGCTATTTGCAATTATAAGTAGCACACTAGTTAAACAAAATTAGAGTCCACAATTATTTTTGTAATGAATTAGAAATATAGGAATACATGTAACTCTTGGGAAGTCAAAGCGTGCTTAATTCTCTCTAGCTTCCCATGGAGTAAAGGGTTAATTTGTTAAGGAATGCACTATGATTTCAGTAATTACTGTGTATTGGTTCTTAATGAGGCACAATAGCTTTTTTGAGTTTTGACTCCAACATGCAAAGTCCCATTTTGTGCTTAGGGCTCAAGGAAGTACATTTTTGTCTCAAGTACTAAAATACTACAGGCATACATACCTTTCACTGATGGATCTTTTGAAGAATTAAATATTCACCTTATTACTGCAAAATAATAAATGTATTCTGGATTCATAGTATTAATCCTGATGAAGAAAAACATATTTTTTTCTTTTCTTTCTTTTCGCATTATATAATTATTTTAGATTTACTATGGTATGTATAATGATGAAATTAATAACAACTTTTAAAATGCTATGATTACTCCACTTATTTAAATGCATAGAGTCAGTAATCAGTTCTAAGCTTGATAACACAATTGGGGCTCTCTTGGTAAAATAACTAAAAAAAAAAAACAAAATCTCAGTCTTGGAACTTGCAAACTGAGTATCTGTGGGACGTACAAAAATACTGTGGGGCCTACAAAATATAGACAGCCCAGGCCTAAAATAAAAATTGCTACTGTTTTACTTTCAAGTTCAACTTAGGAGCTTATAGGCTCTGTTTTGAAATGTTCCCTCTGCCTTTGGCTA